AAGACACATCTGCAGGTGTTGCATTTCAAACTGAGAAACTCAAGCTGTGACAAAGAACAAATACACTAACACAGGCGCCCAGATAGAGGAACATACAGACAGATTGTCTCTGCCTCCTCCTCCTCCTCCTCTCTCACATACACACACTGCAGGTGCAGCCCTGCTCAGCGCTTCCCTCCACGACATTGAGCCTGAAAACACTGGCACATCTGAGCAAAGTGGAATTGAAAATCTCTTAACATCTGTATCTCATTCTATAGAAATACTGATTTTAATGTGAGACAACGCAAAATATATGACAAGACAAAGGCGCAGCATATTGAGCACAGACCTGCCAAATCGAGAGAAAGAATGTGCTTATCGATGGGGCTCTTGCAATGTGGCTGACGCTTCCCAGTCGGCATTACACACTCTGAGTCTGACAGAGCCATAAATACCCCAACTAATGTGGCTTAGGGTCATGTAGGTTTTAGATAACCTCTCTGTGGCTGGTACACTTCAAAAAAACTACTTTACTTTTTAGCCACACAACCCCTGGGACACAGCACCCCCTTAGAAAAAATCTGCAAACACCCCCCCCCCCCCCCCCTTTTAATTTTAAGCCTTTCAGAGCGGTGTCTCTATTAGAATCAAATCTGTTTGTTAAAGCCGAGAGTCAAGTAGTTTGAAGGATCTGAGTAGCATGTCTGCAAATTCACTAGAAGAAAGCGCAATCAGCTAAGCTTCAGATGGCATCCGACAAATTTGATCTCCTTTCTTCAAGCATCTCTATTGTAATGTTCTCACACTGGCGTCCATGCTACATCGCACATTTCTGATAATCTATGCAAATAGGCCACAGATGGACAAGTACGTATCTAAGTGAGAAACATATGTGTCGCACTTATAAAAATAATAATTTTTACATCTCTTTTTTTATTTATATACTTTTTGTCCCTATCCTATTTCTGTCACCCTTCACTCGTTCATTAAGAGTCGCATGTGCCTGTGATGGCGGCATCTTGCCATTACATTTGTAAACGTATTCGAATGAGGACACTGTGTTTCTTTTGTTTACTGCATTGAATGGTGACAGAAACAAGGTTGGAGTATTCATGAACGCCATTTCTCACTCTCACACTACAACAAACAGCCCTTCTCTCTCTCTCTCTCTCTCTCTGTCTCCCCTCTTCTCTGTCTCTCTGCATTAGAGGAACGTCCCAGGCATTATGAGAAGTCATTAATGAGTGTGTGGAGTGGCGTGTTGTGATGCGCAGCATATTACAGTCATTCATCAGAGCCGGGAGACACTTGACAGGCGGACAGCCAACAGGTTGTGTAATCATATAACACAGCCATGTCAGGCCCACCATGGCTCCGTGTCCCATACGGGCCTCTAAAGTCATTTTCCTCTGGGTAATTGACAACGCCAAACAGAGACCTGGTGATGGATAACGTCGTGAACCGACCAGGGCACAAAGATGGTGGCCAACCAGAGCGATGCCATTTCAGATTACATCAACATTTAAAATAAAATTCAGGTTTAATAAAACCTGGATCTTATTTATCCCCACAGTTTTTACCCAGACACTTCTATTGATTATAACTTTGCACCTAAATACCTAATCACCTAAATAAATGATCTGGGAACATATTGGTAAAACCAAGTCAGACAGGGCAAAAAACAACAGTGGTCACATGATTACACACACACTGTAAACAAAGCTCAAATCAGCGCCTTAAACACTGTAATCACAGTTAAAGCTGAATCAGGAATTACATCTGTAAGTCGTCTTGACCGTTTGTGACAGACGGCTGTGGTGGTAGTTTAGCATATCCCTTTTGTTTTCTCTTCCAAATAAGTTTGACTGGTCTGGGGGCCTGTTTCCTTGTTCCCAAAGCTCCACAGTACCCAAGTTTTATGACAACAACATTTCACAAACAAACAAAAATTTAAAAAAAAATTCTGTTAGCACACTAAATTCAAGTGTATTTACTTATGTTTAATGACTCACAACTGTGCAAAGGGGGAAAAAAAAAATCTATTAAACACAACCATTATGAGATATTAATCTCTGCATTAATTATATCCCAACATGACAAAGTAAATGTGTTACCCTGGTAATTAAAAGTGTACCAGAAACACCATCTGACGCTGAGGAATGTGTTGCTAATACTCCAACTCCTCTCCACAAAACAATTCTCAGCTGCATTAGAGGAGCAGAGGTGGCCCTGAGGCAGTGTTAGACATTGTTAAGGATAGCAAGTATCCTCACGCAACCTGTTCTGCTCTGTCACTAAGCTGAGAAAGAGAAGACAATGTTCACTCTCATCCTCCCACTCTCACCTCTGCTTGTTTGTGAGATGCCTCTTGCAGCACACAATACAAAAAAAAAAGGCCAGCTTGTTGTGCGTGTGAAATAATGGTCCGTAAGACGATAACCGCAATGAAGATCACCAGCAAGGATAAAAATACACAGTCCTGTCTTTTAAATATCATCATCACGGTGTACAGTACAAAGCTGCAGTGCACCGAGGTGAAACTAGAGAATGAGAGTCTTGATTAGACTCATGTTCTCTCTCATTCTATCCGCAACATACAGGAAGAGGAACACACAAGTTCTTACTGTATGTTCGCTGCCCTTCTCTGCGTCACATGAAGTTCATGGACACATTTATCTCAGAAAATCTTTACTTTGGAGAAAGAAAAAGGAAGAGGGTGCAGGACACAAATTAGAGGGAAATAAATACATGGGATGCTAACTTCCATGATGTGAGCTAATCCCTAGGATTCTTTTCTTGATCTAGGATTGCCATGTGGCAGTGAGGCACAGAAAAAAAACCTAGCCCAACCGTACAGTCAGACTGTGTCCACACCATCTGCTAACCTGAAACTGTTCTTTACATTTACAATGTGCGTCCACGCTAGGATTTTCG